CGGTTCCGCCAGTATTCGATCGGTTATTTGCACTGATATGTCTTCGCTTTGGTGCAAGTGTGACGGCTTCTTGAGTATATGGTAACGTTTTCGGCGACTTTGCGATCTAATCGCAGGGAGTCGCCAGTCTTGTGGTCGACGTTTCATGCATATTTTGTGTCGTCGCTTCCGCCTCGTTGTGAAAGGATATGCCATGCGCCGGGGCTCGGCGAAGTCCCGTCCTTTGAGCCACCGACGCCTGCATGGTCGGTATAAAGGAACCCGTCAAGACAAGTGTGTGCTAACCCTCGAGTCGAGTCCATCATTCCTTCTGCATCCGTCTTTGTCCTAGGCGGTATGAGCATCTACGAACGCATCTGTGCTGAGGCGTCGCTGGCCTACCAGTCTTATCTGGCGCCGCAGTCGTATGGGGTGAGTTGCTTCGCGATCTCGTGTGTAACGTGGCGGCGCGTTGACATCGTTCGAAGATCGAGACGGCGTACATCTCCGACGGCCAACCTATGGATGAATACGCATCGTCCCCGCATTACTCGCCGACTCCTTCGCCGCCGCCGTCTCTGCTCTCGCTCCCTTCATCGCCGTCGTCATCGCTATCACCCTCGCGGTCGTACAACGCGGACCCTTCGACCTCTCCGCCGCCATCTGATTCGTCTCACGACGACAATGCTATCGCGGATTCTTCGCCAACTTCGCCAGACGACATTGCGCCGCCTTATCCCGTCCTCTTACCTTATTGGCCCGGTTCACCGGCCCCGCCCGTTGCGCCCATCAAGTCCGAGCCCGTCGCTACCATAGATCCGAGGGTGTTTGGTATGTCCCCGTCACGCGTGTTCGTCACAATGTGGCACTGACTTGTCCACGACGTGCAGATCAAACCCAGGCTCGGAAACCGAAGAAGGAGAAGAAGAAGCCCGAAGTGAAGGCGTGCTACGATTGCCGCGCACTTCGCAAGAAGTGTGTCAAACAGTCAGATGGATCTTTAGAGTGCCAGTGAGTGTTTACTGTTTACAGGTCTTCCTCCACTCCCGATGCTCATGCCATCTCGACAGGACATGCATCGACCATAACCGGGCATGCCTATACCCTCTCCAGTCCTTCAAAGGCCAGAGGACTGACATCATCCTTCAAAAAGGGGAGCAGCTCCATCCCCACTACCTGAATCATCGGCACATCCAAAAGCACACAGAAAAGAAGCTTCGGGCACGATTGCAACTAGGCCGAAAACGGCAGGCATGATTCCTCTGTTTCCATCTCGGATCTTTCCAACGGTGACCTGTTTTGGGCAGCCCATAACCCCGTTGTGTATGCTCATGACAGGTCACTGATGGCCCTTCCTCTGGCCTTGCTACAGTCTTGCTACATGCACAATGGGGCTCTGATGCCCTGTCATGCATGTAGCAAGACTGCAGCAAGCTCGGGGAGGATATACTTGAAAGTCTGTGGTTGGCATACTATCTTGTTCTCTTGCATGCTTGTGAACTGAACATGTACATAATTGGTTAATGATCACTCTTGTGGCACCTATCTGTATTTGATATCCTGTGCCCTATACAGCTGTACAGTTAAGCGATACCCTAAACCTTACTCTAAGCGAATATCCGCTCCGATTCCGTGAGTACGCCGCCGAGAACGGGGTAGATCGTCGCAGTGCCACATCTTCGGTCACATTGGTCACAGTGAGGCCCTTCTCCTCCCTCGGATGTGCATAATCGATGCTGCCGAAGCCATGCAGACAGTACACAGCCTAAGGCTCATCTCAGAGCCTATACTGGTCAAGTGAATCTGTCGAGAGCGGTAGAAGAGGAGCGGGCAGCGAATCCGCGAACTTTGCGCCGCGACTTGGCCGCGGCGCGATCTTCGCGACACGAGGCGGAACCTCGCTTATGGGCGGTCATGTATGCCACGCAGAGCGGTATTCTGTGCAGATACAAGCGGCTAGTCATCAAGAAAGTATGTCATTGTACGGAGCGGGACAAGCGGGCGGCGACACATCGTACTACAACGCGTAATCGCCGTTCGCGCAGATAGCCAACGGTATCCTGTGAGTAGATGTGCGAACAGTATGGATGTATGTATGCAATGGTAGGTATAGAATACAGCAAGCTCAGCAGCAAGTAGCAAGTCAATCCGAGTAAGCAATAGTGTACGATAACGAACAAACCCGAGCCAACGCAGAACCCACTCCTAACGCCGCCCTGCCCCAGCCTTCGTAGTAACCCTCGGCGACCTCCTCGGCTCCGCCTCAGCGCCCGCCACCACCCCAGCCTGAGCAACCTGAGCGGCATTCGCACGCGTCGTACGCGAGTTGGGCGCAGCGCCACCGCCACCGCCACCGCGGATCTTGCGCGTATTACCAGGGCCCCCGCTTTCCCCATCGACGTCCATACGCCCGCGTTTCGCCGGGGAGCGAACGTCACGGAGCGGGCCTTCGTCGTCTTCCATCGGTGCGTCGCTCGATGGTGCCGCATTGCCGTTGGAATAGCCGTTACCAGTATCTTCGCGGGAACGTTTCTCGCCGACGCCCGGTTCAGCTCCTGCGGCCTTCGCCTTCTCGAGCTCAGCAGCCTGCCGCGCCATCTCCTGCTCCTCCGCCGCTTTCGCGTTAACATCTGCACGGCGCGCTAGACGCTGCGACGGCATCGGCGTGAACGGCTGCGAGGACTGCGAGGCTTCGGAGGGGAATGAAGTGAGCATTGAGACGTCGGAGGCGAGTTCGAGCGCGTGCGAGACGGATTCTTGGGAGTAGGAGTCTTGGGAGGAGGAAGGGATCCCTGTGAGCCAGGAGTGGTTCAGGGCTTCGGTCAGGGACATGCGGGTCGAGGGGTTCGGGTCGAGGAGGCGCTCGATGAAGCGGCGAGCTGAAGTGGCGAGGATGCGAGTTAGATTGGGTAGATAGAAAGAGGGGGATTGTGGTACGCGTACCTTCCTGCGAGCACGGAGGACGCTTGCCTTGTCCGTTGAGGCAGCCCCACTCGATGACGCGCGTTGCGATGCGCTGGGCCATGGGGAGCGCTTCGTCTTCGAGGAAGGGCGTGCAGTTCGTGAGCCTAGACGCATGATATGAGCATTACGTTCGTGTACAAGGAAGGATGAAGGGCACGTACATGCTGAATACGATGACGCCGACGCTCCAGCTGTCAACGAGGTGATCGTAGCCCTCGCCACCGATGGGGTTGACGACCTCGGGCGCGAGGTAGCTTGGTGTGCCGCACATCGTCTGGGCGCGACGTCAGTATGCTATGCCAGAGGTAGTGGAGAGACAGACATACACGCAGCATGGTCAACTGGTCGACGATCTTGGCCAGACCGAAGTCCGCGACCTTCGCCGTCTTCTTGTCGGATGAGAGGAGGATGTTCTCGGGCTTGAGGTCGCGGTGCGTGATGCCCTTTGAGTGGATGTACTGTCACGACGCGCATGAGTACAGCTATATGCATGCAAGGCGAACAAGCGTCGCTTACCGCCATAGCGTTGCAGACCTGCCGTGTGATGTCAATAGTCTTCTCCTCCGCTGTGAGACAGTCAGTAATGATTCGCAAGACGCACTAGAAGACACAAACGCACATAGACCATCGCAGGCCTGAATGTAATCCAAGAGGTCGCCACCCTCCACCAGCTCCAGCACAAGATAGATGTTCTCGTCTCCATCATCGAAGAACCGTTCCTTCATGCGACAGATGTTGTCATGCTGCAGACTCTCCAAGATCATGATTTCGCGCATGAACGCCTGCAGCTTGGCGCCGTCGTCGCCGCGGATCTTGCTTCCATGGATGATCTTGACAGCGTACCACTCGCCCGTCGCGCGATGCAGCGCTTTCATAACCGTAGCGAACGAGCCGTGGCCGAGCTCGTAGGTGAGGTCATAGTGCGCGTTGAGGCCTGTGGCGGCTTGGCCGGTGAACATGCGGAAGATGAAGCGGTAGTCGTCCGAGGACTCCTTCTCGGGGTTTGGCGCGCCGAACGCGATCTCGTTTCCGTCGCGCAAGACACGGGTATGGCCCTTCTCCAAACGGACGCTGTTGATCTGCATGAAGCCAAAAGGAGAGGCAAAGTCAATGCCAGATGAGGAAAAGACGGTGACAGGAAGAACGCACCCAGGTACCATTCGTCGAGCTGTCCTGAACCGAAACGAGCGCCTGGCTGTCTTCGCGTCCGTTCCAGATAATGGTGCAGTGGTTGAAACCTGAAACGAGCAACAACAACACCAGCTATGATTAGCGTCCGCTCCCGTATAAGGCCTAGCGCGCGAAGACATTGTAACGCACTGATCTTCATCCCCGTAAAGTGAATATCCGACCTCGGGCTGCGACCGACAGTGTACGTCTTCTTGGGCTTCACAAGCTCTATCCTCGTGACCTTCTTGGACTGGTTACATGGCTGAAGGCAGGCGTAGGTTTGCGTGGAGGGTGGTGGGGCGGCTGCAGTTGCTGGTGAGGACTCGAGCTGAGTCGCCACCTGAGTCGCAGGCTGTTGACTCTCCGGCTCGTCGAACTGCGGGGCGTTCATCCTTGGCGGCGGGTTCGTGGGTCGTCGTTCTCAGGAGAGTCAAGCGGATGCTTCAAGAGCTTTTATATGTTCGGTGAACAATAGTCGAGCAGATGTGGGTGCGGCCTCAAAGACCGGACTGTGGTTCAAGTCGTTGGAGACAAAGAGATGACGGTGGACGCGTCGGGCAAAGCTGTCAATCAAGCGCGACGCGACGCGTCTTGTCGGGCTTCGTTGATTGTTCATTTCGAACCACCATCACACTCGCAGCGCGAGCACAATGCAATTCACACTTTGCCTCTACCTTCTTTGTATGAACATTTTTGGGCAGTATTGACCACGCGAGTCATTGGGGAGGTAGGTATGGGCTACCATGGGCGCTGGCGTAGCCGTGGTGCCCGCGGCGGCCTGCAGGCGAGGCGAAGAAAGCTCTACGCAGACAAGCCCCTTTACGCCTTCTTTTGGGGTCGCATCGCTCAGGGCCTATCGATGACCATCAGAAGCACAGGCTGACGAAAACTAATACACAGGTCCTAGGATTTTCAAGCGGCGGACTCAGCGAGCAACAGCCGACAGTCGACCTTGACGCGCCAACGGACTCAGCGCAGACGCGTTTTCGGTTCTCTGAAGCCGTCAACCTGGACATATCGACGGGCGGCTACGAGGGCGAAGGGCACGCAACAAGCGCCCGAGCCGTGCGTTCGAGAAGTCGGGAAGCCGGCGGGCGCCTCGAGGGAACGGCGCGGTCACGTTTCAGTTGAATCAACCACACGGCGCGTCTTCACCTGGCCTCCAACCGCGACTTTCCTCCGCGAGTCATCCTCCCGGGCCCAAGCGCCGCACCCCCCTCCCGGTCCTCCCACACCCGCTATGAGCTACAACGTGCTATTGTCCTCTCCGGGCTCAGTACAGGAAACGCAGCTGCTCACTCAGGTGCCGGAGGAGGACTGGGCTTTGGCTCCTGACGCGGAGACTGTGGCGAGCCTTATACCCGCCACGGCTAACGACGCGCTTCGGCGTATCGATTTTCGGAGGGATGGACCGTCTGTTGTGAAGCTCGGCAGGGCGCCTGCTCCCGATCGTATAAGCTTTCCTCGCTGTGCCGTTATGTGTACGTCTGCTGTCTCACATCCAGTCGTTTTATGGTCCACTGAGTCTGACTGTGGACTGTAGCTGCATGCCACTGCAAGATAGAGTGGAGTGTGGGTCCACGCGGGCTGATCACGTTCACCATCAAAGACCTGTCTAGTAACGGGACATACGTATGTCGTGTGTGGCGTCACTGATATGAACGCGTGCTGAGATCATGTAATAGATTAATAGCGTCAAGAGGACCAAGGGCGAAGCGGGCTGCCTGAGCCACGGCGACACTGTATGGCTCGGAAACCCCGATACTACGTTCCATTTCCACCAGTACCTAGGACTGGTGCCACAGTGCGCTATCTACGACGACTACGATATCAAGGACGAATTGGGTCAAGGGTCGTACGCTGTTGTCCGTCGTGGTATCAACCGCCGCACCGGAAAGGAGGTCGCGGTGAAGATCAGCGACTGCACGCAGTACTTGCGGACCCCAGAAGGCCGAAAGAAGATGCTGCGCGAGATCACTATTATGAGGACGGTCCGGCATCCTAACGTCATCCATATGTTCGACGACTATCTGGACGAACCGCACAAGAGACTGTGTTCGTTGTTTCTTATCGTCTGGCACTTGTGTTTGCATGTTGACCGGAAACGCACAGATCTGGTGCTGGAACTGATGGGCGGCGAGACTCTTCTGCAGCTCATCTCAGCGGGCTGGGAATCTGATGGTACATATTACTTCGGTATGTTCATGTTCAATGGCGCGCGTTATAGTCGCACAAGGACTGATCGTGGTACGCAGATGAGCTCACAGCCCGGTCATACGCATCTCAGCTGGTCGACGCTCTCGAGGTACATCCCATCTCTACCTTCTCTCTCTACGCAACTTGCCAATCTCACCACACCGCGCTCTAGTATCTACACAGTCGTCGGATCATCCACCGCGACCTGAAGCCCGAGAACATCTTGTTGACCGGCGACCTGCAGACCGTCAAGGTCGCCGACTTCGGCGTATCCAAGATCGACAACACGGCTTCTGGCGTGCACGTGAGTTCCTCGTTTCTGCCCAGTAACTCCCTGTACTTACGATGACTGACGACGGGCAGACTCTGACGGGTACACCGGACTACCTCGCGCCGGAAATCCTCACAGGGCTGCCGTACAGCGACTCGGTGGACTCCTACAGCTTGGGGCTCGTAGTGTACAACTTGTGGGATACCCCTTGTTCGATTTACGAGACTGTTCACTGATGGACTTTGATAGGTTGACGGGCTCTGAGGCTTTCGCGTACGCCGATGCGGGGAGGAAGCCAACTGACATTCACGCCCAAGTTCGGCAACGGAAGGTGAAGTGGGCAGCCCTCGAAATGAACGAGTATCTCAGTACCCAGTGTAAGCCCCTTCTCCCTTCCCATCACATACCCTATACGATCACTCATTTCATGTATGCATACAGCCGTCGACTTCGTCAAACGCCTCGTAGTCTCCAACCCCACAGACCGCATGAGCATGACCGAAGCCAAACAACACCCCTGGATCCTCTCCCAATACCGCTCCGACGACCCATACGCATACGCCAGCACCCAAGCCTCCTCCTCCAACTCTCCCTCCAACTCCCAAGAGCTATCTCGAGTCGACATGTCCCTCGACGGCCCGAGCTTCTCCATACCCAGCGCGACGAGCTTCCTTTCCGATGCATCCGGCCCCGCACCGACGCCGCCGGAACCGGATGTAGATGCCACTCCGAGGCAGCCTGCAACGGAGGGAAAGGGCAAAGTGCGCGGAGCGAGTACGAGCCCCAAGAGCCGTATGATCCGTGGCAGGAACAGTAACGCCGATCTGTCGATGGCGTCTGCGCGCAGCGAGCCCCCCATCACTCGGAAGGGAAAACGCCGGGCTGCGTCTGTCGAGCGTGAGGACGAGCCAGATCGCGACGTTTTGCCTGTTCCCACTGGGACGAAGAAGCGTAAAGTCGCTGGACGGCGCGGAAGCCAGGAGGATAGTGTGGAATCTGTTGTGGAGGGACGGTCTGTGAGCCGGTCTAGGGTCGCTCCTGGTGAGCGGCCATTGCAGAGGCGGAGGTCTGCGCGCTTGAGCAAGGATGCTTGAGGTTCGAGGTTTTGTTGAGGGTTCTGCACGCACGCTCTGAGAGCTTGTATCCTGGTCTGGTTTTGGTTCGTTGCGCTTTTCGAGTATGCTTGCATCACATATATACTGTACTGCCTGGTTCACGTTTACGCTCTGCTTTCATCCCCTGCTCTGCTGCATCCTATCCACCCCATCTCATGTTTCGTATCTGCTTGTGTACTCCCCACTCCCCGGCTCACCGACACAACTCATCTCACACGTACTACTTTTGCAATTTATCTGGATTTACGTCATCATGAAATGTACTACAGCGAGTAACACTGGAAGCCGGCTACTACTCTGAATCAGAGTCCGAGTTGTTGAACCATCTGCGCCGAGAATACTGCTTATACTGCCTCCTCTCCTTCATCTTCTTCGTTCCCTCCCTACTCATGAACACCTCCTCGATGTACAACCCCTCCGTCAAATGCTCGAAGACATCCTTCGCCTCGATCTCGCCCAAGATCTCCTTGTACCCGTCCCTGATATCAATCGCGGCGATAGGCATACCAGCCTCTTTCGCTGCAGTGACGTAGTCCGCCAACCACCCGAACACCATACGCGCTTCAGGCCGGCGGACTTCCAGCCGCTCTCGTGCTTCCTCGTCCTCGTTACGGCTCAGACTATCAGTGAGATACCCGTTGTCGATGATGATGCGCTGGATCGGCGCGCGCTTCTTCGTGTGCAAGAAGTAGTGGAGTGCGCTTAGGAGTGGCTCGAGTGACATGCTCGGGCGCACGGATACGGTCGTGAGAGCGGGGAGGTTGAGGATGATCATCTTCCACGTGCGATGGGTGAAGGTCATGACGCTGCGGGCGTCAACATGGGTGATATGATCAACTGGGAGCGCGTGTATGAGCTTTACGAGCATCCTCCGGATCTCCGCGAAAGAGATAGGGTATGTCGATAACTGCAAGTTCGTCTCCTCGCTTCGATTGCCGTAGGCATATCCAGAGCCACCTTCTGCGCTCGGATGTAGCGATACCGTCAACGCCGGTGGTGTCGCAGGTTCATCTAGCTGATAAGGCCTGAACGATTCGATGGCGAGGGTGCGCATTGTTTCGGAGCCGGGTCGTCTGAAGTGAAGTCGCATGCGTAGAACGAGAGATCTTATCTCTCGAGCGGTGTATAGCTCCCAGGCATGTACGCTCAGCTTCGCCGATGCCGGTATCTTCATCGCGAGCAGCAACTGAGTGCAGGATTCGTGTCTCCCGATGAGTTCGGCGTCGTACAAATCGGGCAAGGGGATCTCGGGAAGCATGTGGGATGCTGGGTTCGGCAAAGTCGTCTCAAGAGCGCCCAGCTTGGGACAGCGGAGGAGAGCAGCTGCGACGTCGTGTATTGTATCCGGTTTGAATAAGTCGGCCAGTTCGAAAGGCTGACGACGAACTAAAACCCATCGGAGAGTGCGCAAGTTCCGCACGCATGCCCATCTCATTCTGCAGTGGTATACTTCGAGGTGCTTTAGTTGCTGTGATATTTGCGGCCTGCATAACAGTTCCGTGGGGACCTCAAAGCGTGCGTATGTGGAACCGCCGGTGTCTTGCTCGTCCGAAAGGGCTTCAGATTGGATAAGTAACTTCTCAAGAAGAGGATGGTCGTGTTCCGCCATGGCAACCAAGACGCCTTCGAGTAGTTCGGGAGAGCCAATGAGTTCGAGTGAGCGCAGCGTCTCAGGTCGCCAGTAGAAAGGCTTGTACTTCTCCAAGAAATGAGTGCGGTCAGAGCTCGATAGACGTAGTTTCACGTTCATAGGCGCGTTTCCGGTGTACTTCCGCTGAAGTTCGAGTTGACGAAAGCCGCGGAAGCTGAACAGGTACTCGGCGATCGAATGATACGACCAGAGTTTGGGAGTGGTTCGTCCGACGTAGTTCCATCTTCGGGAGACGCACATAAGATGTTTCCAAGACATGGTATACAGCCCCTGTGTAGCATATGCATAGTAAAGGAAGATCATGGAGAGGAGCTCGGCAGGAAGCTTGTATATGGGAGAGCAGAGCTGGTTGCGGCACATTTGCAGCTCGCGGAGATGATTGCTCCGCCGAGAGAGTTCCTGATCCACAAGCTCTACAAGCTGCGCATTGCCGGGGTTCTTCTCTAGAGCGTTAATCAGGGCTGGCAGAGGTCTACGCGCTGAGTGAGCCTCAAGATTTTCAGATGATACGACAGGTGAGACACACGTACTCATCGAGAAACATGGTCGCCAGCTCGGAGCGATCCATGGCAATATTCTAGTCAGTTACTAGAGGTGAAGTCAATCAAGTTGAGCAAGTCGGCAAGAGTAGTGGTCGTGGTTTGTTTCAAGGTAGCTTTGATAATTGCGTCACCCTGACTTAGGATCACGGCAAGTCGGGCCGATATCGCCGACGGCCTCATTCAGCCGCTGTCGTTGGCCTCGTCGTGACCACGACCGCCATCTGCTACCGGATCTGGATCAGACAGTGCCCTTAGTTAGAGGCTTCATCCTTGCCACCTACTACACGCATAGTGCACTAGTCCGCCTTCGATGGCTTCGAATGACCACACTCCGGCGAGTGAATTTGCGGACGAAATCGGCTTGAAATCGTCTCTCGCAGTATTAGCGAAATTTAGGAATGACCTGAAGAACGACAAACATACTCGAGAAAGGGTGCAATGCGGTAATATGTTCTGTCTTGGAGCAGGAGACACAGGTCATGTGCTGCGGGCGTGCTCTCGCTGCTAGTACGTACATATACTATGATCTATGATTGATCACCCCGCCACATGCCGCCAACACCATCCGTGTGTGCTTGCTGCCACTGATAGCTGATCGTACCTCCCTCAGCTCCGTCCGGTATTGCTCTCAAACTTGTCAAAAAGAGCATTGGAAGAAGCACAAGACAGCTTGCGCGTCTTTCCAGGATCCGCCACTGTGTCATATATTTGACGGGAGGCACAAGGTCGCCGGCTCCGCATACGTTGAGAAGCCCATCTTCTCACGAGGAAACGCGAATGGTATAGGCTGCTGGATCATGTCCTTTGGGGACATATCTTGCGCGTAAGCGTTCCGCTCCCCGGCATACGCTCAGCGAACTTATTGAATGCCTACCCACCGATCTTGCATCTAGGTTATCCCGAAAGCCAGGGAAGGCGCGAGTGGATGTATCGACAGATGACCGAAATAGGTTTGAGCTGATGAATGATATGACACCCAAACCGGGAGCATACCTAGTCATCGGGCTCATGGTGCATAATCGCACGAAGGCGCCAATGCTCATCCTCGGAAGCGATATCATCGCTGTCGTGAAAGCCAGTCGTGAGAATGATTTTGCTCGCGGCACTCAGGGAAAAGAATTATATCTGCCCTCAAAGCAGCTCGATGGGTCAGTTCTCAGCCCCTATCATCAAATGGGATCCACAGGCTGATTGCGACGTCTTAGAACACCGACGGTTGCACAAGCACTGAGCTTCGCCGAACTCGTGGCGCTCAATGGGAAGACCGAGAGACAACCTGATGAGGAGGTGGGTCCTCGTCATATTCATTCTCGCCACCTGTCAGCACAAATAACTAATCAGAGCAATGCCACGGAGGGTGTGCCACCAGCGGCAGACGAAACCTCACGGGAAGCCCGCTCCGCAGCGCTCATTGACGAGGACGCCTGCGCCGTTATGCTCAAACCAACAGAACACGCCGTTCTGGAAATTCAGTTCCGCTTGGGCGGTACAAAAGACATCTCTCACCAGTTCCACGCATGGTCGCTACTCGACCACTTCGTGGTACCCTGCCTAGTACCCTATAGTCCAATGCTCTCCGGCCCTTTTCGTGGCAGATCGCGCTGCCCGACTGACCCGGCCGGGCAGGACGCAGTGGTAAACGTGTCTGCGCCCATTGTACAAAGCGATGTAGATGCGTGGTTTGCCGACTTCCGATTGCATGGGGAGCAGGCGCATGTCAAGAGCCATTACGGGGAGTCGCGCGGGAAGAAACACGCGATAGCTGATGATTTTGAGTCGGCATTGTTACAGATGATGGGGAATTGATGCCAACAAACCAAAATAGACATGACTCCGGCTCTACATCTGAACGCCATACCTCAGTATATGAGTAGTCATGCAAGATCGTTTACTCAGACCTTCACAATAGCTCGTCCAGGTTGAATGTAATAGAGTACAAATCAAGAAGGGCTTGTATCGTAAAGTATAACAAAAACCCGCATTATATCTCGAATACAAAATCATCAGGATCAGTGGCGGGAGAATCAAAAGAAATAATGAGCGAGTCATTCGAAGTAGTCTGTGTGGACTTGGCGTCCGCCTGTCCGTGCGTGGCTTTCCGCGCCCCAGCACTCAGAGTCACAGGTAGGGAGGAAGGCTTGCTGGCCGCCGTTGCAGCCGATCGCCCAGCGCCTGGTTGTGTCTTGCTCTGAGAAATTGGCCGAGTAGCCATGGAGGTTGCAGAACGGGGAATGGCGGCTGCCTTCGCCGTACGGGAACCCATTGAAGTAGCGGGGCGAGCCGTGCTGGGCGCCAGAGGAGCACGCGGAGGGCGGATAGATGCAGCCGTTGTGGGTCGGGTGGCCGGAAGCGTGCTTGGCGCGCGGCTGGATGATGGGGAGGGCTTGACAGTACTGGCAGTTCGCGATGCAGCCCTTGTAGACGACGCGGCATTCGTGGTCGATGAGGGCATTGCTCGTTTACTGATCGTGGATGCTGCGCCAGCGGGCCGACCAGACGCAGTGGTCGTCGCCAGACCTGTGCGCATAGATGAACCAGAGGATGCAACACGAGCGCCAAAGGCGGAAGCTTGCGTCCTGTTGGCATTCAATGGGCGTGAAGTCGCGCCGCGTCCAGGAATTGAAGGTAAGGGAGCGGTTGTGGGGATGATCTTGGGAGCTGTCGTGAAGGGACTGTCATCCTCTACATTGCCCGTTCAGTGAGGCGCATAGGTGAGGCAGATGGGATTGACATACCGAGCTCTGGTAGTTGCAGTATATCCCAGTTATCGGTATAACCACTAGCCTGGAGCAAACCTTCGTCTCCAATATGATCGCGCTCAGCGGCATAGTATAAGTCGGCCCAATCATCGTACGGGAATGAATGCATTGTGTTATAGAGCTGGGCACCGGTTAGGGCATAGTCTGGCATATCGAAAGCAGGCTGGTAGGGAACGTCTAGAGCGAGTTAGCCTTGAACCGATGGTGTATCGAGTGAAAGTGAGTTACCAATGGCTGTTGGTGGCATATACTCAATCTCATCGAAATCGTCAGTCGGAGCGAGCTCGGGTTCCTCTTCGACGGCATCAACTTCGACCTCTGTGTCACTGACGTTCCAGTGGTCGCCTGCATTCATGGGAGTCTCGAACACGTTGGGCCGCCCAGAGCTACGACGGCGGGTTGACTGTCGCATAGAGCTTGGTCTCAGAAGGTGTCCCGGAGTCTGAGAGAGCAGTGCAGCAAGTTTGGCCCCGGCGGGTCCTGGAGTGGCTGCGAATGCGGCGCGGTTGGGGAAAGGTGTCTTGTCGCCGAGCGGACGAGATGCCGTCCCCTTGCCTATAGTAAAGATCTTTCCGGGTTCTATGAGAGTGTGAGATCCAAGTAAGGAAGTAGCGCATATACTACAAGCTTACTGTCATCACGCAGAGGGGTCTGGTAGGGCTGCTTGACCACTTTGCCGGTCATCGGCCGCGTACGCTGGATAGTATTCTCTTGGAGCAGATCACGGCCCTTGAGAGCTCGCCCAGGTGTCCTCGCGTACAGAGGAGCATCTTCGTGAATGGATATCGGGCGGTGGCTGAGCATAGCGGGTTCCTGGATGGTCGTGGTTCGGACGAACCAACACGAACTGGGGCCAAAACGCGGTCACGTTCCACGACGCGCTCCACGTGGGCATATATTCCCACGTATAGGGCACGACGCGCTCAACGCGCGCAGGTCTGCCTTCGTCGCGGACCATCATTGAGAGACTCTGTACCAGTAGCGTCCGTTCACAATCAGCTTCCTCCTTCAGATGGTAAGGGCACTCTTCTTCTGCTGACAGCTACGCCGTCACTAACCAAGCATAGACAGCTCATCGCGAGACTGTGCCAGGTAACAGTTCTGGCGCAGTTGCATACCGCGAGAGACAAGGCTGGGATCACCAACTATCCTCTCAATCACTATACAGCACTGGAACGCAACCCTTTGAAATTCTGTGCTGGCAGCCGGCGCTCGTCCTTTCTTCAGCGCCGCACTCAGCTAAGTCAGCTTGCCTGAACTGTCGTCGGAAAAAGAAAGGCAAGTGTGTTAGAACACCCAGCGGGGCATGTGAGTAAGTTACTCCAGAGCTTCAGCGTGCTTGTGGAATGAAATGCGGTGCTGATGCATCGAACTACAGGTATTGTGTCCAGCGTCCAAAGAGGGGACCATGCGTGTACCCTCCGTCATTCCAAGGCATGCGCACCGACCTGATACGTGCACGATCAATCGAGTCGTCGAACCTGCAGTGCAGTTGTGTTGAGCAACAAAGAACAAAGCACGGGGTACACTCGAAGAAATGTCCTCAAGTGTTACTCTCCCTCAACAAGAGAGCGACAGAGACGCGAACCGGACATATCAGACCACTTCGAGACCCTAGATCATCGTATCCTCGCGACGGAATGGTCGAGAAGCAGCCCACTTACATCAATTCGCATCAGCCCTGCCTACCACATCAACCTTCTACTAATGAGCTACAGCCTAGTCCATCACCCGTCACTGTACGCATGCGAGGCAAGAAGCTTCTGTTCGTTGATTAGAAGTAGCCATCTATGGTATAGTTGGACTTGCACGCACTGTAGAGCGACACCCGGAAATCGAGAGATCGCGCAAGTATAGACGCATATGAAAAGGTACTTGAATTGATTGACAGACAGTAATGAGGATTGGTTACATAGCAAATTAGGACAACATCCGCGACATCATGGACAGAAGCAAGCACACAGTATGTATACATTGGAAGCAGTGATTGTCCGACAGCATGAGACTGGGCATGAAAGAGCGAGAGATACGAATGGATAACTTATGCACGTATAAAGATCAAGGCTCCTCGGCGACAGTGCTGTATCGCTGGCCGAATTGACCGTATCCAGGATGCGCCCCGCGTGAGCCAGATGGAACGCGCGAGATGGCGGGCCCAGGCGGTAGCGGACGAGTGCCGAGCCCTTCGCCTGGTATTCGCGCAGGACTGGCGCCAGGTGGCAGATTTGGATTGGTGGCTTGACCAGGTACGGGCAAAGGACGCGATGATAGCGAAATGCTGGACTGTGCCGGTGAGTACGCAAGCGCCGAACTTGGCGCCTGGGGAGAATACAAAGACGTGCTCGATCCTGCGACGGAGAGCTGCGAGGGCGTGTATGGAGAACGTGCGGTCATGGATGGTGAATTGTGTGACGCAGGTGGGTAGGTGGTTGGCGATAAGTAAGAGGTGGAGATGGAGCGCCCATGCATTGATGGCGCTGGAGAATCTGGTAGTCGCGGCAGGGACGACTGGGAAGCTGATGCGGCGCGCCCGTGGGACGTCTTTGACGATATCGAACCTGGATGTGTGTGAGCGCGCGGGCCTAAAGGCCCAGGGCGCTCAGGCGATTGCAACGAGTGCAGTGAAGATATGGAAGAAGAGGGGGAATGAGACGGCTGTTTGGCCAGCGGAGGAGCTTGAGGTAGTGATGTCTTCGACTCGTTGTTGGGCTGCTTCTGAGCCTGAACAGAGAAAGACGAGGGCGAGGGATCGCGGTGTAGCGAGACCTGGTGGCTCTTCGTTGACGGCGGCTCGTACGTTGCGACGTCTGAGTGCCATTGGGGCTCAAGCAGGCTGACATCCGACGTAGATTGACCAGGCCGAGTAACCGTTGCCTCTACTTCGGGGGATGGCGCGGCAGCGGTGTTTGGAGGAGCAAGTAGTAGCGATGACCCATTCGTAAAAGCGCTGACATCGGTGCCGCTGCTGCGTGATTTCGATGCCGTGGTGCCTGTTGCCGACCCATGCGATATCGAGTTGAGCGTTGATGGCGAGGGTACGGGAGGCGGTAGGAAAGACGAATTCGGTGGGACATGGAGCTGCGTTGTGTTGGTGAACAAACTTGTCGTGCCGGTCGGAAGAGCCTCTGACAATGGCGAGATGGGCGCCTCTGAGATAGGCGGAAGGCTTGGTCTGCCAGACAAGGGAGCCGAATGGAGATTCGGTATTGCCGAGGAGAATGAGGACGATGCAAGGGAGGTGTCATCGAGAAGGAGAGACTGGGAAGGAGGTTGTCGTCGCGATTGAGGGTTACCGCCATCCGAAAGACTGTTGAATAGCGCCGTGATGGTACTTGGCAGCGGAGAGGCGAAAGTGAAGTTCTCCCCAACATCGGAGAAGTCGGTGTCAGCGCGCCCAGTGGGACTATCGAATCCTCGCGGACTTGCCACGGGTGACTGCCACGGGGTAGGCAGACCACCAACGACACTTGATCCCGAAGCGTGAGGCAGCGAGTGCGAGTTGCTGGATTCCGTAGCCGTCTGCGGAGTCTGGGGTTCAACCCGCAAACTTGACGAAGTTGTCGCCGATCTTGACTGTGATGTTGAAACTGCAGGAATGGTCGGTACAGGCGGCAGCTCCATGAAGTCTTCGTCTGAGTGGCTGCGGGACGCATTGACAGAGGAGTTGTTGGAGACTGTGCGAGGACGCGCGCGTCGCGGCACTGGTCTACCATTTGGCCCGCGAACCCATGCGGATGGAGGACCACCAAGCGCTGGTGGGAGCAGCATGACATGAGGAATGGAATCTCGTGCTGACGGAGTCCCGAAGTTGGAGAAGCGGCGCGCCTAGACGCACATCAGTCAACAGCTGTAGTCGATGTACGGTCATCAGACATACCTCGTCAGAAGGCGTTGGAGGATAGACAGCCAGACTCTGCCTATCGCGCGAATTGGAGCCGCTCGTTCCAGTATTTGTAGTGTTGGTGCGAACACTACGCGAGCCGCTGTCGCATGCACTTGCGCTGGCACCACCAGCACCCTCCGAGCTTGGCCCAAGGGAGAAGTCCCGACCGGTACCCGATATCAGGACGACGCTCCCATTATCCGCCCTTGTTATACCACTTGCAGGACTGTCCATAGGCACAAGAAATCCACTTTCACCGGTACCTAAACCATCCAGCATGGGAACCGAGGTGTTCACCCTTACCGCCCATGGCAAGGGGGCGGGATCATACGACGTGGCAGGCGAGTTGTCAGCGACGGACACGGCCGACTCGATTGGGCGATTCTCGTCATCGTCCACCATGTCCGTCGTCAACGGCGGGACTGGAGGCACATTGTCGCTCAATCCCGGACGAGCACCTTGGTCCGCCAGACTGCGCATGGATCGATTGCGGCTGGGGCCTGCTGACCTCGACGAGACGGCGGCTGCAACACGGGTGAATAGCGAAGGCGATGGAGGAGGTTGCCCATTGTGACCGGTAGTCGCCCGGTTGTCAGACTCAGCGCCATCCGATGCCGCCGAGCGCGCCGGCCCCAGTCGCGATAGCCCTGCTTCCGCACTCTCCTGCGCGCCGCCCTGTCTCCTGTTGCCTGCTTCACTCGCAATTCGGACGTCGACCTCCACTCTGTCGTCATCCTCATCCTCCACGTTGACACCCGTGTACGAGCCTCCTCCGTCTCCACCACCACCTCCGCTGCTACTGCTTGCCGCCGTACTCAAGCCCAGGCGGCTCAACAGTCCCAGAACGCCCATGGATACGGCACCCGTATGGTTGGACCTCGGCGCGGATGGTTCTGGTGACTGTGGAAGCGGTTTGTCCATGGCCATGGTCATGGCTATCGCAGCGCGCATCTCGTCCTCTTCCGCGTCGATGTCGTACTCTCCGCGTCCACTCCCTTTGCGCTCAAGGACCGCAACGGGTCTTCCCAGTGACAGCTGTATATGCTGCAGGAGCGTTCCAACACGACGCGGAAGGCGTCGCTGTACGCGTGGCCGCGAGCGAGTCGAGGGTGCGGGAGAATCGGGCTTCGGCGTATGCGGTGCAGCTGGAGGAGTGAAGACGTCGGGTTCATCGTCTGCATCGACGGACCACTCGCCCTTGACATGCCGCCGACGCCTCACGCGTCGCGGCCGCGCACAACACCACCACGAAGACATGGCGATACCTGTTGGAACTGGCAATTCGCGCATGCGCTTGCGACGACGAATCCGCCACAGCCAAAACCCCGCAAAGGCGATGAGCAGTGCCAGGCCGACGATGACAGGTACCAATATCTGTACAGCCGACCAGCCATCGTCCCCGTCAAGCACAGCTCGGACATCAAACCGACCCTCGCTCGTGATGTTGTTGTACGCCCATCCTGGCACGCCAAAAAGTGTGTTCGAGCCATTATACGTCTTGTACTCCCGTTGCGACTTGCTGCAATTCGTGGTCCAGGCCGGGAAAGGCAGTAAGCGTGTTGCCGCATTCGTGGTATTGCTGCCGTCGCAATACGCGCACGCGCTCGCAAGATTGTACACGACCGTGTTACTGCAGAGTAGTCAGCGCCCAGATCCGCGAGCGTATCTGCACATCAGGCGCCCATGCTTGCACATCTCTCCCGAGTTTGCACCTTCTCTCTAGGACAAAGGGCCGCATGCCGCAGGCATGCAGTTCCACTTCACACTGCTCGGTCCGGAGGAAGGACGGAGGGCCCACATTCCGCAACACGGGAGCTTCTCCCGCTTCGGTCGGGAAAGATCGTAGTCGAGCGCCTGAACCCAAACAAAGGTAGCTCACCATGTACAGATTGTGCTCGGGTTTACTGCGCGCGGAAAGATCAGCTCTGGAAGATAACCCGAGGTGCAGGACACACACCAGTTGGTGCATTCAGCAGCGTATTGACATCCTGGTTGCATTGAGGCCCGATGATGGAGTTGGCGACCTCGCATGGATTCTTGCCGTTCGTAGCGAACTGTTATATCATCAGAGTTGATATATGGCTAGAGAGGTCGCGCAATGGCGGTACAAATACGCACCTGAGGGGGACAAGTCTGCTGTCAAGTAATATACAATGCATCCGTTAGCTCGCGTGCTCTGCATCTACAACTTAGGCACTACGCACGCCTTCATCATCGCGCGAATACAATAGGTGCTCGAGGCTGGCCGCGACGCGGCGAACCATGAGATCGTCGTGGTCGAGAGCTAAGCGCGAAGAGTCGTCAGCGGAAACTGTAAACCGAGTCTTAGCATCAGGAAAGGCAGGCTATGGGCGCGCGCGAATAGACATATGAGCCGCCCGCCGCAATAGCCGAGCCCGCGCCTCACGCCCATATTCAAAAAGCTCATGTACTTACTCGGGCTGTGTACTCACGCGCACGGAGCGCGCACTGCACGTCAACGCACGTCGCGGTGCAGAGTATAGATTGCCCGTTTGCGCGCTGGGGGCCTGAGGCCTCTAGCCTTATTCTGTTGCAATCACAACACCTCCGACCTTTCGACGATCAAGAACGGCGATCTGACATCCGAAGCCGCGGCACGGAAGGATGGCAGGGGCGGGAACGAACTGCTGTTGATCTGATCGTTGTCGTCGACGTCAAGAGCAACTTTCGGGCTGTGGCGACGCTTGGCCGTCGAAGCGCATCGCCTAGACCCGCCGTACTCGCGCGCGGGCATCGAGCTCCGTTGTGACTGGAAAAGCCCCTGTTACGCGACAGGCTGTGGATCGCCACAGACAATTTGGATCTGATTGCAAGACTCGCGCTTTGATGGAGGTGCCACGTTCACGCAGCAGCGTGAAGGAAGAATTATGCCATCGGGTATTGGTATGTACGACTATCGAAAAACCCGTCCCCAGATATATGCAGTACCGCTTTAGCACTGGTGCGAACGACATCAAAGCGGTTATGTAAGCTACCGATAATGCCAAGTCGAAGACCTGAAAGTGTAATATTTCTCTCTATTGACCCACAGTCTCTACATCTCGCAGCTTCGGAAGCGCGCAGTAGACGTACTCCATGTTGCCAGCCTGATCTATATTGATAGCCGTCAGTAAGATGGCACCGCAGTCAAATCGAGAAGATATTAGGACAGGGCTAATCCAGGAGGGTTCAAATCGAGTGGCGACTCACGGCTTCCTTGGGTGATCACAACACCATCCAACGTAGTCGCATGCACCGTGTACCTATTGCTTTCGGTGGAGACGTCCGGCGGCAACTTATATGTGTACTCCGCACAGGCCAGTCCGCCAGCGTATGCGTTCTCGTCCTTGAAAGGCCGAACCATGCCGCCGCCACGCAGGCTGTCATCGAGCGCAAGCCGGGGGAAATGCGCGTCCGCATCAGAATGCGGACGCCTCGCCCTATGCGGATAGAAATCTAGGAGGGCTATCATGCGCGCCGCAGATGCCGATTCTGGTGAACCCAACTCTTCTTCGTCGGAGCATTGGAGCCACAACGCAACGCGCATTCCCGTCGTGTTTTCCGAGCTGCACCATTGCATGGAATGCGGTACCGGAGGTGAACGAGGAACGACAATGCGCGCATGCGCGGCCCACTCGTCCCATTCGAGGAACCGGGAGTGTTCTTCCTCGGCAGAGCGAGCGCGAAGGAGCTCGCGCACTCTAGGAACGTGAATGCAGACGAGAACATCATTCTCCGTGTACTCCATCAGCGAGCCATCCATAGCCAAGGTGATGGGACATCGGAAACGCCAATGGTCGTGGAAAAGTTGATGGTCTTGATAGGTAGCTGCAACACTGTCCATGCGTCCGAAGGCCCCGTCGACCGCAGGTCGGCGTGCTGAACGCTCAACGGTAGCGCCGTGCCATTCCTCATTCAACCGGGGTAGGTTGAGCGTAAATAAGGTCGTGGATTGGTCTGCGTTGAGGAGATGAACTTCGTACGAAGGCGCCACGGGGAAATCCCTGGGGTCTGTTCTGAGCTTTGGGGTCTCCGCGATCGGATTTCTCGTGACAATCAACATATCGTCGGCAACTACACGTCGGCAAACATAGCCAGCCCTCGCAGGCTCAGTTATGTATGGAATCTCCAATGTCTGCACGAATTCGTCAATGTCTACCTGAAGTAAAGCGGCTCAAGAGAACAAGACTGTACCTGAATCGGCTCCGTGAGGCGCAGGTCCCTGATGATATGTTTGCCCCCGCTCCTATACGACATCGTGTACCCGTATGCACTCCAGTTCTGGTTATGCAGTAGCATTGGACTAGCACTAAAGCTGCTTAAGATAGTTGCATTGACTGAGCTCAAGTCCCACACGTTGAATGCCCATATACTGCAGATACCGAGGAGCACACAAGATTGAGCTCGATATAGCACCTCCATACGGGATGGACACGTACTGACGTCCTGTCAATGACCATGAGTGAGGTTCCGATTCGTAGGTCATCCCTATCGCATTATCGGGGTCGTAGTGGAACAGGGCGCATCGTTCAGGTCGAGGTCCCGGAATAGAGGACAAGAGTTGCTCTTGGGGCGAAAGATCGCGGCACCGCGGTCCACCCATGTTGACACGACTGACGGTCAAAGATCCATCCTCCGCACGCGTTTGAGTGATCCAATATCCGTAGCTCAGTTTGGAGGAAAGATTGGACATGCGGCCGTAGAGAACGAGCTGGCCACCTCGACTCCCGACACGGCCATACTCGCGCACTCGAGCCAGTTTCTCTGACACCGTGAGCGATCCGTACTGTCCGTCATTCGTTTCCCGTAGTCCACTGGTAGCAAGAGTGGTGGTGTATAACAGAGGCTCTGCGATTGTTGTTATTGCTCGCAACCTGTTGCACGTCTGCGAATGATGCGCTGAGCCTGGCGAACGTTGGAAGTCACGACCAGCCGAGGGAGTACTCACCGCCCCACAAGATAGGATAGTGCTATAGTCGACTAGCTCCAGGACGTGAATGATGGTTTCGGTCGGAAGGTACAGCAGCATCGGGCGCACCACTCAGCTGGGGGTGATGGTTGAACGTTGAGGAGAGGGACCCTTGCCCTCCCTCGCCTCGCGCACGATGCCAATCAGCGCTCAGAAAGATGCCGTCCCATGTGATAAGATCTCAAGCCTCGCGGCCAGTGTATAAGTAATACATTGCGCGGGCCACGTTCTTCCGGGCTGGCTGGTGGTCGAGTGCAAGAAGCGGTTGGCGGCGGCGGCTGGCTCGGACCGCTTTCTCCGCGCGCTGCTCATCTGTGGCCCTTCCGGACTTGAGCGGGCGAGCTTCTTGACTGGATAAAAGAGTTTACTTTACACGGCCTGACGGGAAAAGCAAAGATTTTGGCGATGGGCTCGATTCCAAAATGTCTGTCGACTCTCTGTCGAGATTTCGCAGAGGGAGACGGAGAGAACAGTTTGGAAATGCACCCTTTCTGCGAAATGTTTGCAATAGCCCCGCAGCACCTCCCGTGGCAACCAAACCTTCATGACGTCAGCACCTCATTCTGTGATATTCTATGGTATTCTTCCTTTCGACCGATCCGTCTCGCTGTTCGTAGTACTTATGCATCAATCTTTATTTATTCGGTATGTACATACACGAGTACTATCTACGATATACTAGTAATCCCTAAGATGTGCCCAGCAATCCCAGAGCCGCAAGC